TGGGATTTTCTTTGCAAAGGTACTGCATTGGCTTACCATTTCCTTCTCCAGTAGATTGAAGCAAATGGAGGTTAAGTGACTTGCCCAGGGTCACAAAGCTAGTGAGTGTCTAAGGTCTGATTGGAACTCAGGTCTTCCTGATTCCAGGCCCAGTCCTCTGTCCACTGAGCCATCCAGCTGCCTCAGTCACCCCCCCCAAAAAAAAAATTACCTTGTGTTTAATTTGTCTGTCCTCTGAATATACTTCTATATGTACATTTAATCTTTCTTGAATGTAAGCTACTTCAGAGCAAGAACTATTTTAATTTTTACCTTTCTATCCCTAGTACTTTGTACACTATCTGGAATATAATATGGGCTTAATAAATGTTTGTTGTTTGACTAATTAAATTCTAAGATCTTAAAGATTATATTGAGTTCTGAAATGAATGAGGCATTTTTTTTTAACATTCTTGGAGTCGCTCACTGAAGAAAACCAACTTAGCAATGATTTATGATTGACTCCTTTTCAAAAGGACACATTTTAACTGAAACCTTCAAGGTAAAACAGAATACCAAAATGATCATAAGCTCCCTCATTCCATTCCCTCTCAAAGAAACCATTGCAAAAACTCCCCAGCAAAAGTATACTGAGGGCTTGTATGAATAATCAGTTCTGAGGTAATTTCTATTTGTTTAGTTGTTTTTCATTCATGCCTGATTCTTTGTGACCCCATTTGGGGGTTTCTTGGCAAAGATACTGGAATAGTTTGCCATTTCTTTTTCCAGATCATTTTGCAGGTGAAGAATTTGAGGCAAACAGGGTTAAGTGATTTACCCAGGTTCTCACAGTTAGTAAATGTCTGAGGCTGGATTTGAACTCTGGAAGAGTCTTCCTGATTCTGGGCCAGGCACTCAATCCACTATACCACCTAGCTGCCCCTATGTTCAGTGGGAATATCACATGACCCGTAGGCATTAGTATGGCTGTGGTAGAAGTAAGAAGGGCTTTTCCTCTATACCAGATTTGTATCCTTGAGCCCTATAGGTTTCTTTGCCACAGACCTACAAGCAGCCAGCAACTGTGGATGATCTGAGTCATTAGCATCAGGTTGATCTTCACTATTTCCTAAATACATCCCAGGAATTGTGGCCTCTCTCTCTTTGCTTTCTTGTTCCTAACTCCTGTCATTTCTCATCTCATCCCCAGCTCATCTGCATTTGTTGAAATTCTATTCATCCTTAAATCCCCAGCTTGAAAGCAACCTCTTCTATGAAAACTTTCCTGATTCTGACCCACAAGAAGTCACCTCTTCCTATCTTGTGCTTCTATCCCTGTTTTCTTTGTCCTTATCTTAGAGTATTTATTAGGGCACTGAGGTTTTACTTTCCCTAGTGAATTTGAAAGTCCATCAGGGTAGGGAAAGCGCAACCATATAGTGGGTAAAGAGAATTGTATGGAAACACAGAGACAAAGAACATCTTAAAGTAGTTACCACAAAGTCACCAAATGGCCTCAACATTTAAGCCCAGAGCTGCCATATTTAATATGATTAATAGATACCGAGAGTGGAAACAGGCTGGTTGGTTCTTGGGAGACCTGACCATGGTATCCTGGAGGCTGAATGGAATAGCCCAGAGTAGTTTGCATGTGTGCCTGGATAGCATAGCATAGAGCCAGGAGGCAAAGACCCTGGTTATTAGCCTATGTATTATATTTATGAGCTCTTTTCATTTAATTTAATTTAACTCAATGATCATTTTTAAAGAAACTTCTTTTTTGTGCTGGGCTCTGGGGAAGTATAGAACATAATAGCTAGTATTTATATAGCTCTGTGCTAAGTGCTTTACGAATACTATCTTATTTGATTCTCACAATAGCCCTAGGAAGTAGGTGCTATTATTATCCCAATTTTGCAGAAGAGGAAACTAAGGAAGACAGAGGTTATATGACTTACTCCGTTAAATGAAGCTATCTAATAAGTATTTGAAGCTGGATTTGAACTGAGGTCTCCCTGACAAGGTCCAGTACTATGTCCAGTGTGCAACCTAGCTGCCTCAAAGACCCCAGAGGCCATCTGCTTCAACCCCTACTTTTTAGAGATGTGGAAAGTGAGGTCCAAGGGGAATTAGATGACTTGTCCAGTACTTAGTGCTGTCCAGCATAATACCTGGCACACAGTAAGTGCTTGATAAATGGTGATTGATTGATTGATTGTCAGTCACATAGTAGTAAGCATTGGAAATAGGATTTGAATCCAAGTCTTCTGATTTCAGAGCCCATATTCTTTCCACTATGCCATGCTGCTACACTTTGTGGTCTCATTTGATATGGTTATTCACTCAGCTGATGCAAATTACAGCCCATATACCTGATGGTCTTCATGAAAAGGAGCATGACATAATATATAGAGTGCTAGACCTGGAGTCAGGAACACCTGGGATTGAGTAACAACTAAGACACATATTAGTCATGAGATCCCAGAAAAATTAAAGCTCTGAGCCTCAGCATCTAGACAACACAGAGTATAGAGTACAGGATTTAGAATCAGGAAGATTTGAGTTCAAATCCTGCATCAGACACTTACTATGTCTGTGACCCAGAGCAAGTCACTTAACCTCTCTTTGCCTCAGTTTCTTCATCTGTAAAAAGGGGATAATAATTGTACCTACCTCTCAGGGTTGCTATCAGGAACATAGGAGATAAATGATATGTGTATCTTTTTAAATTTTGAATCATTATGTGAATATTATTATCGTCATCATCATCATCATCATCATTATTTATTAGCTGATGGTCATGTTTCTAGTGATGAACCTCTCCTACCTTAGCTAGACTCAAGCATAAAGGATGTTGCTAGGCCATATTCAAAGTCTTTCCAGAGTGGCAACTTAGCATCTTATGGGAGTCAGGGCAAATACGTGCCTGTGATTAGGCAAATTCCAACTGGTACTGAGAAAGTCAGGTCCAAGTTTAGAGAACAGGCATAAATAAAAAAGCCAGGCCAGGTGGGCACTAAAGTATTTGTGGAATGCTTATATACAAGGGGCCAAAATAAGAATAAGGTTCAATGTTACAAGAGACATTAGAGGAGTCCTAACTAGATTAGGCTGCACCTAATTCTCCAAAGCCTGCATTCCCTGCTTCTTCCCTAGTCCTAGGCAGGATCTGCTGAGCCTCTTTCTGACTCAACAGCCAAGCATAGGTAAGTCCTACCAGAGCTCTTATTCCATTGGCAAAGCCCAAAGCACCTAAGGCCTCTTCCTAGACACAATGATGTTGGAGAGGAGGGCTTTAGAATTAGCTTAAAAATATGAGAAATAACTTTGTTCACATTTTCCTTAACAATATAGCCCTATAAAAGATGATTTTAAAAATATTTTACTACCTTTGATTTAAAGTATTTTACTTGTGTTTTTATCAATTAAGCAATGATATGCTTTTAAAAAGCATTTATGTGCCAGACACTGTGCATATACTATTTTTTTTTCCTTCCTAGGTAGTAGTGATGAATTAAGAGGGTGTGGCTTTAGTCAAACATAGGGATGGTGGTATAATTGAAAATTGACTCCTTTTCCACTTTCCCTCTAACAGTATGGTCATCGTTCCTTATGAACATATATTCAAATATTCTTCAGTTGGAAAACAGTGAAGACCGTTGCATCAGCAAACTGGATACATGGTAGTGTATGTTAAATTTATAAAGTTGTAAATAGTACCCGTATCCTGGATTCCTTTTCCAGTCACTGCATTAGTCTATATTTTGTTGGTGACATCACAACATCCATCAGCTGCATTTTTGAAGACCCACTCCTTACAGAGTGCCCCAGAATTCCTATTCCTGGTTCTAGCCCAGCTTGACCCTGAATAAATTCCAAAGTGCATCCTCCTAATATGGGACTTCTGGCTGCTGGCCCCAGCTGCTGCTGTTGGATTCTTCCCAGCCTCTGTACTGTGCCCTCCACTCTGCTGCTCCAGTGACTGAGCCATTCTCTGCTTGAAATCATTTCAGCTATAGGCTTCTAAACCCGAAACAGATGTTTGACTGGCTGTTCTTCATTCTGTCATGCTGATTCTTGAGTGTCTCAAAATTATTCAGGTACTGGACAGTAGTGCTACATTACGATTCATGTATCCTTTCTTTACCCAGAGGTGTGTATGGGGAGGGTGGAAGAGAGGTATTGCTTGTTTGGTGGGAGGGTGTGTGTGTTGTGGGGAGGAGTAAGGAGGAGGCTAAAGAAAAAGTGTATATTCGAAAGAGACAGGGAAACAGACTGGGAGAGATAGAGACAGAGGAAAAGATAGAAATACAGAGACAGACACACAGGTAGACTGAAGGACAGGTAAGCAGATAGAGGAAGGATAGGAAGGAGGGATGGAGGAATGGAGACAGAGGGAGAAACAAAAAGAGAGAGAGAGAGAGAGAGAGAGAGAGAGAGAGAGAGAGGAGAGAGAGAGAGAGAGAGAGAGAGAGAGAGAGAAAGAGAATATGAAAGGAACAAAGTCCATGCGAGACCAACAGCAGTCATTTAAGCATCTCTTGAATTCATGTCCTAACTTAACTGCTTATCTACCACTGTTGTCCCTCGTTTTGGTTTGTTTTTTTTTTTATATTCTTTCCCCGCCTCCCAATACACCTAGACATCCCATTTGCTTGATTTCCCTGATTGAGCTCTCAAGTCATTCGTTACCTATGTGAAATATCCTGCTTGCTACCCAAGCAGCTGCGTTTTTGCCTCTAGAGCTAACTACCCCCTTTCAAGAGCCGTCCCCTTTTTGCTCGGGAAACAGTATCAAATGAGCCAGTCACAGAAAAGGTGGGAAGCCCGGTCAGAAAAGGGGCTCGTCTTTTAGAGTTTGCACTTTGCAAGCTGTGGGTGTGACTCCATTTCCTCCCCACCCACATAAAAAAGATCGCCACCCAATCAGTGTGTTTTCTTTCCAAAAGCCCCTCCTCTTTCATTTTGGCTCGGGAGAGACCCTTCGAAAGCCTGCCCTTTCTGTACTATGCAGCCTGTGACATATAAAAGCTGTTAGCAGCTCCTGGGGCCAGCCGCGTCAAAACTAGCAAGAGTTTTTGCTCTTAGACGGTTTGTAATAAGACACACTCCTCCTTACAAGTGTCTATGCCACAACATAGCAAAGAACTTTTTTAAAAATTGGAAGGACAATATACTCATTTTGGCATTGCTCAGAGGTAAGCCATTTAGCCGAATGAGTCGGTTTTGCATGCATTTATACTAAAATAGCTCACATTTGTTTTTCTTGAATGAAATTGAGATAGAATTATGACTTTTGTATGTATTTTGTCACTCTTTGCTCATGTGTCTGTGACACAGCATCCATACCTTTACTGCAGGTAGCAGAAGCTGTTTCCTGAGATGCATTTCTTCTCAATGTCTGGATGAGGTTGAGTTCCTTACAGATTGCCCACTTACAACCAAATGCCCACTTGGGCATTTGGTACCCTATATATATATATATATGTTAAGACTTTGTGGGCAAATGATTAATAAGACATCTGAGGGCTGAGGGCTCGTGATATGCTGTTTTATTCATCTCCATCTCTGGGAAGTTCATCTTAGGTTTCTTCTTCATCCATTAAAGCAACATAGGCAGTAATCACAGGCTTTCTCATAACATTGATTTGAAAAAAGTCTTTTGGATTACAGAATATAATCAAGCCAAGGAAAGCTCTCAGAGGAGACATTTGTGTGTAAAATCAAACACTCTGGCACATTTATTTTTAAATTTGCCCTCTCATAGATTGACCCTAACTCTGCCTTCCTGTTTCAAAGCAGAGCAAACCCTGTGGCTTCTCCCCTCCTCCATCCCAAGATGACAGCAATCTCTGCTGTCAGTGGCGTGCTCTTGTTCTCCTTTCTCTGTGAAACAAGTGCAGTCGTCTTACTCAACGCCACTGACTCATCCTCGCCAACCAATAACTTCACTGATATTGAAGCCGCTCTAAAAGCACATCTGGATTCAGCGGATCTCCCCAAAGCCAGGAGGAAGCGCTACATCTCTCAGAATGACATGATTGCCATACTCGATTATCACAATCAAGTTCGGGGCAAGGTGTTTCCACCTGCTGCTAACATGGAATACATGGTAAGAGGATTTCTCTTCGTGGGTGTAGGGAAGGAGTTCTTAGTAGGGATGCCTGGTTTAATTATCGTACTCTAGGAGGACCGAAACATCAAGTTTGGTGTTTTTAAGTGGGGAAGAGAAGTGAATGTACAAAGTGGTTCTTAGTCGGTAATGATACCATAGAATTACAAGTGCAGATATTACTGGGGCATCCTGTGACTGTTGACAATTAATGATAATGCCTCAAGAAGATAAAGGGATAGAGGATTTTCGGTAAGCTTCTTGAACTTGTCAAAGAAAGAGCTATGAAAAACATGGTGCTGGCACATGAAACATTTGCAAGTGTTGTCTTCATAATGATTTCATTTCTCTCTCAGTTAACAGTCTTAATTTGAAAAGTTTCCTTAATAACAATGTTTCAGCAGACTCCAGTGTGCTTGCCTTGCCTTTCTTGGCTAAAGCTCTTTCTGGAGAGATTCTCTTGCTCTACTAACAGGCTGTGCCCGTTATTTCCTCATTATGGCTTAATGCTTTGTCGTTCAGATAACAGCTCAGTGTAGATTGTTCCAACCTGCAGTGAATAAATACTTTGGTACTCTCCTGTTAAAAATAGCCTGTCTATGTTTAAATTTTTTACCTAGCAAGTAAAAAATTCAAGTTGTTTTTAAAAGGATACTCATATTTCTTTTTTTGGTTTTGAATGAATAATGCTTCAAAACAATGTTTAACATCATCTTAAATGAAAGCAGCAGGGAGTCAGCCTTTGGGCACTGAAGACCACCACTGGTGCCCAGAAGTAAGTGTTGGGGGCAATGATAATGATATACATTCTTAACCTAATCATTTGGAAGTCTTTCAGTCCTGGTCTTCATCTATGCAAATTCAGATAAACTTTTATACTTGGTTAACTGGAGAGGTCAGTGAGGGGAAAAAAAATAAGGTCACCTTTCAAATGTGAACAGTCTCTCTGGTCATTTAAGTTTCTTAAGGTCACTTAAGTTTCTGTCCAAATTAAACTCTCCTGTGATTTCTAGGAAAGGATAATCTGTGGTCATACCAGTTTGGGTTACTGTCTTTTCAAAGATTTAATAGGAAGGGTACCAAAATGAAAATGACTTCACTCAGCCAACACGAATCTACAGAAATAAGATGCTTCTACAAAGGGAGAACAAATTAATCCATTTAATTATTCTATTTAATTGTTTTTTTAAGGGTGGAATGTTTGGAAAGTGTTAGGGCCATAGTGGAGCTTCATTGACTTCAAAGATTAGGGGTCATCAAATCCAGTCTATTCATTTTGAAGATGAAGAAACAAAGAGCTTGAGAGGTTAAGTGACTTGCCTAAAGTCATACAGTTAGTAATAGAAGAGTCAGGTCCTCTGACTCCAAATCCAGCACTGTTTCACTGAACCATCCTTTTTCTTCTTCTAGACAGCATGTCAATAACTTACATTTGAATGAAGATTGAGAATTCTTGAGAACAGGTTCAACTGAAGAGATTATATATTACATAAAATATCTTATTATCAGACTAATTACCTATAATCATGTTTCTCATGCATTGCCTGATTTTTATTTCTCTACAATAACTCTGTGAAATATACAATGATAATATTTTATTCCAGTTTTATAAAGAAAATGATGCTCAAATAGATTAACTAAATTTCATTGCTCAAGTTCACACAGTAATAAAGTATGGGACTTGAACACAATATTTATGACTCTCAATGCAGTGTCCTTTCCAGTACATCATTATCCCTCTCATTTTGTTTTAAGATAATGAAATAATAACCTAATTCTTATTTCTCTCAGATTTAGTGACATCCCAGCTACTTGTCTACTTGGGGAATGATATCAAAATTAAGAATTAGACCATTACGCAAATGGTGCAGTGGATAAAAAGCATATTTGGAACCAATAAGTCCTGAGTTCAAATTCTATATTAGACACTAATTTAACTATGTGACCCTGGGCAGGTCACTTAACTTTTCTTAGCTTCGGTATCCAATTCTGTGAAATGAGAATGATAATTGCTCCTACCTCCCACAGCTGCTATGTGAATCAAATGAGATCACAAGTGGAAAACTCTTTGCAGACCTTAAAGAGCTATATAAATATTGTTGTTTATTTTTTTTTCATTTTTATTATTGTTGTTGTTGTCATCTATGAAAGGGGACTAAGAAAATAGCTTAATTGTTTTGAGGAGACTACTATAGAAGAAAGATTTAAGATTTCAAAGTTTTAGGAATTGTTGAGGGAAAGACCATACTCAATTGACTTCACTTTATTCTACTGTCCCAGGATGGGGAATGTCCCTGACCTTGGGGAACACATTTCCTTTTTCATTTCGTGTAGCTCAGCATCAGTGGACTGATTGCTCTATTGTTTCACTCACCATCTTTGCAACTTCCCAGACCAAAACATCTTTCCCAGATTAGTGCTTCTATCTATGCACTCTCTTTCTCAACTAGAAGGTAAGGTCTTCGAGGGCAAGGACTGTCTTCATTTTTTATTTCAACATCTAGATCAGTGCTTGCAACATAGTGTTACATAAATGTTTTTCATTCATTTATTTTTACATTTGTAGAATTCTGGAGATCATTCAAGTACAATGACATGGATTTTGAGTCACTCTTGGCATGATGATACTCTGAAGTGATAGGCTTTGTTTTAAATTTTCTTTTATTGCATTTAGATAGTTATTTAGGTACAAAACATCTGTTCTAAATCCTACATCAAAAGCATGAGGTCTGAAAAACTGGCCTAAAAAGGCCAGTACTGTAGTCTTATGATACTTGAGGTGTTTGTAAAAGGCACTATAAAGTCATGTACTGTAAATTAAAAGGAAAGTGATTAGGAAATCTCTAGGACCTCTTTGCAAAACAATGCACCATACTGCATTATATGAACACAAAAAGGCTGGCAGTAATACTACCTACAGAGAATCAGGTTGCTGATGCCTAAACACTTCCTTCATCAAAACTGGCAGATAAAATCATCAAATCACACATACAAAGGCTATAGTCTGAGAATGTCCTTAGGGATCCTCTGTTGTAACTCTTCTATTTCATAGATGAGGAAACTGAGGAGAAAATAGGTTGTTACAAAAAAAAAAAGCCAGTGACAAGGCTTCAAATGTAAAAAGAGACAGGATTCAAATGTAAAACCTTTGAATTCAAAATTCGCCATTATTTCCACTATTCTACATTACTTCTCAGATCAAGGACACTTTGAAATACAGAACTCCAATTGGCATTTCCTACCATTATTTACTCTTGGTTAAGGAGAGGAAGGGGATGGGAGGAATAGAGTGGCCTTATGGGAACCTTTTATATTTCTCAGAGCCCCAAGCACGATGCTAGGCATACATAGATGCTCAGCAAATTCTTGTTGCTCAATGTGTTCTGCCAAAGCTAAATAAAGCCATTATAAATTGGGATAGGTAGGACGTGGACCTGTCATTTCAAGGATGTAGGGAACACAAACATAAGGAATCTCCCTAGATTGGAACCTTCTCTTCAAAGAGTTGCTCAGAGCACCAAGCTATTAAGTGAATTACTTAGGGTAATGGCCAGTATGTCTTGCTGGCTCCAAGGTCATTTCTTAACACATTATGCCATATAGTTGAGGTGATGTGAATAATACAATAGCAGTCAAGAAGATGAGATGGAAGTTCAACCAGTTATAAAGATTTATAAAGTTATAAAGCTTTAGTAAATTGACCCAATAATTCGTTAGAACACAGAATGTGTCATTATACATTTTATAGATTTTGGCTTTGTTTAGGCAAAGCCCAAGTCTGCAGAAGGTGTAAAAGAATAATATGTCTGTAGTAGTTTGGTGGGTACCATCTCCTTAAAGCACATTGATAATCTCTACCAATGCTGCCTTCCAATTCAAGGCTCAATTTAAGATTCCAGGCTTTATATCAGCTTGTTAAAAAATTATAGAGTCAGCTAGATGGCACAGTGAGTAGATCACCTGCCCTGGAGTCAGGAGGATCTGAGTTCAAATCTGGCCTCAGACACATAATACTTCCTAGCTATGTGACTCTGGGCAAGTCACTTAACCCCAATTGCCTCACTAAAAAAAATATATATATATATACCACACTATGAGCAATGTGATGATCTGATCTGTTTCTAAGTACTCCAAGAGTTTACAACAAAGTTTGGCTCACTGGGGGTGCTTTAAAATATTTGTTGAATGATTCACTGACCCTTTCTTTAACTTCCTTCTACAAAGAGTAGAAGGTTCTATTTAATCAAGAACTTAATCTAATATCAACAAAAGAAGTTGAATTATTTTGAGACCAAATGTTACAAACTTTAATCACTTTCTTCTGAAGCTTTTAGCATTATTCATGGGAGACATTAAGATACTTAAAATAATATATAAACCCCATTTTTAAATGGATGTAAATCAGCCTAGAATGAATCAAAACTGCTCTGTGTTAAGAAAAAAAAAGCAGAGCAAGTCACAGGTTGAAACAAAAGCTATTCATCATTGTGTAAATGCACTATACCAATAGAGCCTTTGTAAAATATGACAGTGGTAACTTTTGTTTCTATTTATTTCTTGGCATTAAGATACTGGTGAATTCTACTACTTATTAGCTTAATGTCAAAAGACTCTGAAGAATATAGATTCTAATCTACAGGTGAGAAACAGGTCCAGATTTTGATTTATTGGGAGTCATTTAAAAATATTTAGATCTAATATGGCTACAGAAATCCATTCTTACAAATTTTATTAAAATACTCGAGTTTCTTTTTCAAAAGGTGGGAATAAAACAAAATGTTTACTCAGATGTCATGTTCTGTCTTAGCTTTCCCATCAAAATTTCATTAAAAACAATTTTTTTTTAAATAGATTAGGTAGGAGCATCTAGTGGCACAGTGAATAGTGCTCTGGCCTTGGAGTCAGAAGGACCTAAGTTCAAATCTGGCCTCAGACACTTAACATTTACTAGCTGTGTGACCCTGGGCAAGTCACTTAACCCTGATCACCTCACTAAAAAA